CGGGCTACATACAGTTCACCAAGAGGATTCTAACATTTTTTTTGTTACTCAAAGTCAGCTGCATTAATTATCGCAAATCATCATTGCTATACATGCAGAGACTTTAATTCTCCCTTTGCTCCCTGAACCAGTACTCCCAAGTTCCATGCACAACCTGGAATTCCGTACATTTCATGAATGTACCCATTCTCATTTCCTAGAGAATCTTTATTATTGCTTTCCTAGGAGTTGATTTTGGTCATCACTTGAAAATGTAGTTGTTACAAAATGGCCATGTTGACAGATGGCATAAATGGCATAGTTAATGAAATCTGCTCCAGTGTCTTAATGGCAACAGGGTATTATCACCATGATACTAAATGGTCTTAAAAATGCGGTCAGTAAAGCGGATGGTGCACTGAATGACAGTTCCCAGGATTGTAATTCACCAACACAGCAATGATAGTACCTGCTACAGCTGACACCTTATTGACATGCCTCAAAGCAAGATCACAAACAGGTTTGTTTGGAGCCTATCTTATTCCAGATAAGGCTGCTGGGGCTTGGACTCACCAGTAGAAAATGTTAAATAAGCAATGTCCAGGGTTTAATGTATTTTTCTTTCAGATAGGGTTATCTGAAGAGTGTCACATGTTTGAAAGAGCCATTCCAAGCCCTTGCATGTTGCATTCAGCTTTTGGTGATTTGTTAATTCCTGGGGGAAAATCAACCTCAGCACTATTACTCACCACCATTTTTCAGTGGGTTGGGGTTTTTTTCCAGAAAAGACTTGAGAACTACAGAGGAGTGTGCCTGGGATAAGCTTTTATTCATTTAATCTTTGGAGCCTTGAGTTTAACACCATTTAGATACATGATAAAATCTATGATAAAAGGATCATTAATCCCTACTAGGTCTAAGTACAGCTAAGTTTGAATTAATGTGGATACCTGTATTTTAGGAATTTATGGAATGGCTTAATGGCATATGTTTGGCTTGCTTTTCAGATGTACGTAGTATCCACAAACAGATTAGACTTTAGCTAGAGCAGTATGACTAAAGCGCAATGTGTTGTAAGTATTTGATACATCCAAAAATTAGTCCAGTTCTCCATCAGGATGGGTACAGAAGTTGCTAATGAAGCTCTTCAGACTTTAGAGAAAAGTAGGTAGGAGACAGACTTCAAAAAAGTATGTTCTGTTCATACCTGGAATGCCATGTCATAGTGTGTTTCTGCTTAGTAAGGTCCTCCTTGTTTTCTCAAACATTTATGGACAGAGCATGATGAAGGCAGCACTGAGCTCCCCAAATAGCACTGATTCACTCACAGATTCACTTACATGGACAAGCCCAAAAAGTCGTGGTGAATAGTGTCTCATCTAGCTGGTTACTGATCACTGGTGGTGTTCCCCAGGGCTTGGTATTAGGGCCAATCTTGTTTAATAACTTTACTGACAATCTCGATGAGGGGATCGAGTGCACCCTCGGTAAATTTGCAGACGACACCAAGATGGGTGGGAGCATTGATCTGCTGGGGGGTAGAAAGGCTCTGCAGAGGGATCTGGATAGGCTGGATCAATGGCCTGAGGCCAACTGTATGAAGTTCAACACAGCTCAGTGCCAGGTCCTGCTCTTGGGCCACAACACCCCCATGGAATGCTGCAGGCTTGGGGAAGAGTGAATGGAAAGCTGCTCACTGGAAAAGGACCGGGGGGTGCTGATTGATGGCTGCTGAATATGATCCAGCCTGGGCAGCCAAGAAGGCCAGGAGCACCCTGGCTTGTATCAGAAATAGTGTAGCCAGGGAAGTGATCATTCCCTTGAATTCAGCACTGGTGAGGTTACACCTTTAATTCTGTGTTCAGTTCTGGGCCCCCCACTGCAAGAAAGGTGCTGGAGTCCAGAGAAGGTCAGCTAAAGCTGGTGAACGGTCTGGAGCACAGGTCTTATGAGGAGCAACTGAGGGAACTGGGGATGGAGAAGTCTGGAGAAGGTTCAGGGAGGATCTTATCGCTCTCTACAACTACCTGAAAGGGGGATGGAGCAAGGAGTTGGCTGGTCTCTTTTTGCAACTAACAAGTGTTAGGACAAGAGGTAGTGGCCTCAAGCTGAGCCAGGGAAGGTTTAGATTGAATGATATTAAGACAATTCCCTAATATTATGGAAATTAGGGAAGATTTATTCACCAAAAGGGTAGTCAGGCATTGGAACAGGCTGCTCAGGGAAGTGCTGGAATCACCATCCCTGGACATGTTCAAAAACCATGTAGACAAGGCCCTTAGTGACATGGTTTAGTGGTGGATTTGACAATCCTGGGTAACAGTTGGACTTGATGATCTTAAAGGTTTTTTCTAACCTAGGTGATTTTATTATTCAACAAAAAGCTCTTTACAGTGACCTTTGTTCCCATGCATTTTGAAGGAGGTCACTGTTTTTCTCTGGAATACATATCTGGTTCACACATCTTTTTTCATCTCTGGAATAGGTTTTTTGAAAAGTCAATTTCTGTAGAGTGAGCGATACTTGGCACCTGTTAGGGCTTGGTGATGGGGGGAGGAATTTCCACATTGCAGGTGGTATAATGTGGATCAGTGCAAGTATAAGAGAATCAACATTTGCTCAAAATCTTTTGTCAAAGATACTGTAGATTCTGCTCAGAATTATAATATGGAGACATTTATTATTCCAAGTAGGTAGTTAACATTATTTACATCCTCCTATAACATACTCTCCTACTATAAAAATGGTTCCACCATTCTATTTTTCAAATGCACCTGTTTATCTTTTTCGAAGTAGGGTAGTACTTGGCATGTCTCAGCATCTTTCAGTTTGTCTAGAATAAAAAATTATGCCATAAATAGAGCTAACCATAACAGTGATCTAATTTGTTTGACTAGTCTTATTAAAAGACAGTGAGAAGGTTACTTGCTGTACAGTCAGGTAAGTTATGACGATGGGTGCCATGCTGGAAAAAATACTGGGAAGTGTGGAGAATCTCTTTTGAAGTCAGGCATCAAGGTTTAGCTATTTGTTTGCTGGTGCAATAATGTTTTCTCTTTGTAATTCTGCCTTTTGTCTAGGAAACCATAAGTTACTGTATAAATACTGATAGCACTTTTGTGAAATGTGTATTGCCAGGGGAATAGTTATAGTAAAGTGTTACAAGTTGTTTTAAAATTTCTTCACTACATATCGCAAAGGAGAAAGAATATTGCAAGCAGATTATTAACCTCACCAAATCTGATAGTATGCATACAATGTAAGTTTTCTGCAGCTAATGAGGAGGCAGGAACAACTAGATGGTATTCTTGAATAGTCATGAAGGATATTCAGAAGACCTGTTATGTTAATCTGTGAACAGTGATCACATCATTATATGCGTATCCTGATGTCTCAGGTCACCTTGGTGGCCTTCTATGATGGGGGTACGGAACTGATAGACAGCTGTAAAGCAGTTGATGTCATCTACCTGGACTTGTGCAAAGCGTTCAACACTGTCCTGCATGACATCCTTGTCTCTAAACTAGAGAGACATCAATTTGATAGATGGACCACTCGGTGGATAAAGAACTGGCTGGAGGGCCGCACACAAACAGTTGTGGTCAATGGCTCAATGTTCGGCTGGAGACCAGTAATGAGTGGTGTCCCCCAGGGATTGGTGTTGGGACCGGTCATATTCAACATCTTTGTTGGTGACATGGACAGTGGGATTGAGTGCGCCCTCAGCAAGTTTGCTGATGACACCAAGCTGTGTGGTTTGGTTGATACGCTGGAGGGAAGGAATGCCATGGAGAGGGACCTTGGCACGCTTGTGAGGTGGGCTGATGCCAACCTTATGAAGTTTAACCATGCCAAGTGCAAGGTCCTACACCTGGGTTGGAGCAATCCCAGACACAGCTACAGGTTGGGTAGAGAAGAGATTCAGAGCAGCTCTGCAGAGAAGGACTTGGGGTGTTGGTTGATGAGAAACTGAACATGAGCCAGCAGTGTGCGCTCACAGCCCAGAAAGCCAACCGTATCCTGGGCTGCATCAGAAGGAGACTCTGCTCTGGTGAGACCCCACGTGGAGTACTGTGTGCAGTTCATGGGACCCAGCCACAAGAGGGTTGTGGATCTGTTGGAACTATTCCCAAGGAGGGCCTTAAAGATCATCAGAGGATTCAAACACCTCTCCTATGAAGACAGGCTGAGAGAGTTGACCTTGTTCAGCCTCGAGAAGTGAAGGCTCCAGGGACACCTTCTAGCAGCCTTCCAGTACCTAAAGGGGGCCTACAAGAAAGCTAGAAAGGGACTTTTTACAAGAACAAATGGTGGTAGCACAAGGGGTAATGGCTTTAAACTGAAAGAAGGTGTATTTAGATTAGATATTGGGAAGGAACTCTATAGTGTGATGGCAATGAGACACTGGAGCAGGTTGCCCAGAGAAGTTGTGGGTACTCCATCTCTGACAGTGTTCAAGACCAGGTTGGATGGGGCTTTGAGCAACCTGGTTTAGTGCGTGGTGTCGCTGCCCATGGCAGAGAGGTTGGAACTAAGTTATCTTTAAGGTCCCTTCCAACCCAAACCATTCTATAATCCAATGATAAAAGCAGAGACTGGTTCACTACGTCCTTTGAGGGATTTCGAAGCTAATGGCTAAGAGGTCTGGACAGCAATAATTAAGCCAATTTTCATCCATATGGCTCACATCAAACTTAAAAATGCTATGGCTCAGTGCACTCTTAAGAGTAGTTATCCAGTGGAAGGGAGATATTTCTATTTAAAAACTATAAATTAAAGAAATATGTAATATTCATTGAAACACCTTTAACTGAAATTAATTAAATGATGGACTCATATTGCAAGCAACAACGTCTTGAATAAATATAACACCACATAAATCATATTGATTTTAAAATAATTCACATAATTTACTTATTTATTCTCAATGTTATTTTCTTCTCTCCCTCTCACTTCCTTTCTTTTTGTTGTTTTCCTTCTATTTCCACCTGGACAACTTCTATCTATTCCATCACTAAAAGATGTTCCAGTGGATTTGATCGTCACCGGCAAGATTGGGTAGACAGTGGCTGTCCTGAAGAGGTATGTGAGTAGTTTACATCCTCAGCCCATCAGAGGCCATTTATATCCTTATGATTAATTAATTCAGATTATGGAGCATGGTTTCAAGGCCAAAGACATGCTATATTTATCATTCAGTGGAAACGTAAGGCATAATGAAGAAAAACAGGCTGAGCAATTTCTCTCCTCATTTGAAGGAATAAAATGAACACAAAGTAAACATTTTATCTCTGAGAAAATACCCTGAATAAAAAATGAAAATACTAGAAAGCCTGTCCCAAACAGTGCCCCTGCAACATTTTTCTCTTAGATCTCTGACCCTTGCTTTAAAAGGGGAAGAAACTGTGATGATTCTCACCTCAGCAAATCCTCTGCCATAGTAGTCTCAAGTGAAAAACAGGCATTGCATTTTGACCATGGAATCTTCCCAAATCATTTAGTACAAAAGATATTGCATAGGTGAATTCAAAGGGGGGGGGGGGGTGTGTTAAAAAAATGATAAAAATAATTAAAAAACCCACCCTACATGGCATTTGGATTTCCTTTTGTAGAGAGGTGGTGAGAATCAGATTTGACTCGGTTAGTGGTAGACTGTCAAACAGGGGCTGTGCCTCCTCCAGAATAATAATTTGGGGTACTTCTAGACAAGAGAACTTCATTTTCAAGACACGTATATAAATATCTTACTGTTAATTCTTTCCCAGTGTACTCCCTTGAGAAGGTTTTTTGGTTTTGGGATTGGGGTGTTTTTTATTTGTTTCTGTTTTTTTTTTTCTTTTCCATTTGTGGATTGTGGTAATAGAAACAAATTAATTTATGACACTTTTAATCTCCTGATGGCCATAAAAAGAGCAGTTACTTTTCCATTTTGGCTGCAAGGGCTAAATTTTCTCATGAGTTTCAGCAACATAGCCCTTCTGAAATGTAATGTCAGGTGAAACTGAGGGCAAAACATAGCCCCAAGTGTCTAGTTAGAAAAGCACATTCTGTTTTGTTCTCAGTAGAAGCAAAGAGAAGTAATGAAATAAATCCAGACTGATGGAATAATTATTTTTCTTTTCTTACAACTGTAAGTGCAAGATGACATCCTCTCTTGCATCCTACATCTGCCTTGTTATATGGTCTTGAAGCTTCAGCTTTGCAGTTTGTAATCTGCTGATGTAAGAACAGAATTTCTGTGAGATTTATTGTCTGCAGAGGACAACCTCTTCAAGAGCATACAGTAAATTTACTGGAAGTATATGTTGTTATAGTGCACAATCTTTGTATTGCTTTAATCCATATTGTAATTAGCTAGGACTCAGTTGTACCTGTAGATGATAACCAAAACCTGCTTTCTGCAGGACAGTGGCATCCTATTCTGTTTCTCCCTTCTTGTTTCAACACAGCTAGTGCTCAAAGGAGCACTAATACATGATCTGACAGGAAAGTTATCAATGTGGTGTGTCTGAGAAACGAATAGTTTGATTTGCAAGATTTCAGGCTTCTTAATTGCTGTTCACAATCCAGCTTTCAAGCTCTCTGTAGTAGAAGCAACAGCTTACTTAGCATCTTCCAGAATAAGGCCTGAGCTGACCGGAGTTCAATGAAAGATCAATAATTACCATACAGAGGTTAATTTTAGATGCATTCATTCAAGATGATGAATAATGAGGATTCTCACAGTAATTTTTCCTTCTTTGTGATACAGATTTTGAGCTAAATTTTTATTAAATTGAATCAGTGAAATTAACAGTGGTTTTCAAGGTAAAACATGAAGAAAAAGAATAATTAACTGCAGGTATGAATACATTTTTTCAATTAATATATTGTTTCTGGTAAAACAAAGGACAGTAAAATACCCATACATATGAAAAGAAAGACAACACTCACTGGGCTTTTAAAGCCAGATCTCAATAAAATTAGCAGGCTTTGCTGGATTCCACTTCTCATTAAAATGAATAAAGACAGCAGGAGTTATGGGCAGTCCCAAATTTGTTACTAGTTACTTGGATTATTTTTCTAGAAAACTGTGTGATCCATAAAATAAAATATTTATTAACCAGTAGAATTTTAAAAGTGTCCATAAACAAACAAACAAACAAACAACAAACTTGAGATCTGTATTGAAATATTTGTCCATGAAAATAAAAGTTAAATTATTATATGATGGTGAATATTATTCATGGTGTGCCAGTATAGTTTAATCATTTGTATGATTTTTTCATAGTTCATGTTTTTTAATACTTATATTTTATATGATAATTGTTATATACATATAATACATGGAAATTTGGTATATGGAATTCAGGGCATGTAGTGAATGTGTGATTCTATAGTGGCATATAAATATTCTATAGGCTGAATACATGCACATATTTTATGCATATTCTTCTGTACGCGTGTAAAGCCTAATTAAGTGCTCCAGTTAACTACATATTACTCACTATGAAGAGCTACAAGTTAATTCCCATACATCTTTTTAACATAGACCAATGGCGGTGATCATTCAGAATAGAAGAGAGAAAAATCAAATGATAATCTTAGATTCTAAAATCTGATTGGGGGAAATAACATGCTTGACATTCAGGGATGACTTTGAAGCCTTGTCATTAACAACTGAGAGTTGTAAGTTTTGCAGCTAAATGAAAAATGTGTGTTGCTGAATGCTGCATAGAGGCACTTAAAAAAAGAAAAAGAAAAGGGGGGGGGGGGAGGGAAGCTCTTGAAATACCTTGATTTAGGGTTTACATTTTCATTCTTTTTATCCTGACAGCTTGTCCATGCTGAAATTCTTCATTCAGTGGCCGTGTCCACTGAGATTTCTCTCCTTTGTTTTTGTTGTTTCCTAACAGTCAAAAGATAAGATTTGTGAGAAGAATATAGATACAACTGAAACACCTCTACACTCCTCCACCACCCTTCTGCCGACCACCACAAAGTTCAGAGTTTTAACCACCACCAGAGGGTCCACCACTTCCCACCTGCCAACTAGCCTGCCCACAGAAGGTGAAGTATATATACTGCATTATTCTGTAGTGCAAACGTCATTTACAACTTTGTGTTCATGTTGACCTTCTCTCTTTGGGGCAGTGGAAAGAATAGGGAATTGCAGTTATCTGCTGGTGCTTTTAAATTGCAACTTGTTCTTGCTATAGTAAGGTGTAGGGGGGAGTACTGGAGAAGGTGTCAGTGCTAAGGAGGCACGGAGGAGCCAGGCAGACTTCTGGAGAACTTGTGGTTACAATTGAGTTTTTTGTATCCTTTTAACCAAAAGGCCGTAGTCCAAAACCTGTTGAAATAGTAGAAGGAGAGGACCCTGCTAAAGTTAGTGAAGAAACTCCCATCACAGACTTGATGCATTTTTAATCCCTTTAGATACTCTACCTAACTGGGTTAAAATCAGAGGTAACACAAATTAAAAACCTCTTTGAAATTTGCCTCTTTACATTCTTCAGTCCGTTGACACTGTTCTTTACATGTAGCACTCGTTGTGAAATAGTTTCTGTAGGCTTCTGAACCAAATTAACTGGCTAAGGGATGGTGTGTCAGTTCTCATCCTAGTTCCACTGGCTGCTTAAATCATGTCTTTCTGTGGTTGAAATATCCTGTTTTCCTGCTTCTGGAGAAAATTCAGGGGATTAGAAAAACTAACTCAGATTAATCAAACATCTATAAAATAGGGACAGGAGGAGTTTTCTGTTGGAATTGTATGTAAACACAAGAAAAGGTACTGGGTACAGGCAGATTTTATAAGTGCCCTGTGACAGGAAAATCTGAACTGAACAGATTTCAGGGTGGGAATCTAATTACAAGAAAAGTTGGTTTTGTGTGGAACAAGAGAAGTTTAGAAACTGTCAGTGCAGGATTTGGACTACATTAGCAGCTGTTATTTTGTTCATTAAGGGTCACAACAAGAAGAATATGGAAATAAATAGGAATTAACACTGGCAGGCCTTTTTATGATTCTTAGAAGAGGAACTAAGTAATTGTTTTATTTTATTGGCATACGTTGGTTCATCTAGTCCTCAATATGATAGAATGCTCAAGCTATGTCTGAACATGTAACATAAATGAGTTACTTGTGTTATGAGACAGACTTTAGCACCCTTATTTACCAGTATTTTGAGTCCTTTCATGCATGTTTTCTGAATCCTCTCATAAATGTTTTTTGAATCTTCTTATTTACCAGTATTTTCAATCATCTCATAAATGTTTTTTTTCTAGTAGTAAGGAAGTGTTGCGCAGCATAATTAAGAACACTACAATCTAGTTCTCAAATCATTTTCCAATAGTGGAATCTCTTTCACAATAGCAAGTCAGTCCTAAAATGACTCACGATGTAGAAAAATGCATTTTTCTACAATTAACTTTGATTTTCCTTTATAGATGACACCAAGATAGCGCTGCACCTAAAAGATAATGGAGGTAAGAGATGATTTTTTTTTCTTTAAATAATGTCAGTAGTGTGTCAGTTTATAACCCACTGAACTCCATTAATCAGAATCGTATTGTAGAAATGCTTTAACCAGTCTCCCAAGGGACTTCAGCCTTCCACGTCTTTGTGGAAGAGAATCAGGGCAAATAAGCTTAACAACTGCATAGTAAATTAAACTTTTACTACTTTCTTTATAACTCCTTAATAGAACAGCATGTTTAATTAACTTCCAAATATGGATATAGTAAATAAATTTTAACTGTATTAACATGGTCATTAGCTGTATTATAGTATTATAGTAGTATTTAACTATATTAAGAGAGGATATGATGTTAGTTCTAAATAATAATATTGTGTTAGAAATTCATTCATAGTAGCCAATTATTACATGCCACTTTGTTAATAAGCATATACATTTTATATTTGTGTCTCTGTGCTAGCAGAGATCCTGCATTTCTCCATGCACATTCCCCATGTACATTAATAAGATCACAGTGTCTTACTGATAAAGGCCTCTGTTAAACGATGATCTGCAGGGGACTGCTTTTGTTATTCTCTTTCTGGGTTCAAGGACTGAGACCTGAGGTTTGTTCCTTCTTCCTTTGAAACTGATGAAAATTTTGCTATATAGTTAGAATAGCACTGGATCATTGGATGTAGGCTGCATCTATATGAACTGCCAATGTAGAGCTTGCTGAGGAGAAAGATTTGAGTTGGGTTCTGAGGGCTTCAGAATGGTCTATAAAAGCAAAGGATGATCTGCTGAGCAAATTGAAATAACCTATATTTCCACTGATACAAAGGGGAATATTATTGGCTCTGGTTGCCTTTCCTCCTGGCAGGGAGCATCAGGCTTCTCCCAGGGGCAGTGGAATCAGCAGCCAAGCGTGGCAGGAGTCATTGGCAGGGTGAGTCCAGCAGCTGAGGGACAGCAGCTGTGGTCAGTCCCAGCCTAGTGTTTTCAGCAGAGACTGAAGTGTGGGGCAGGTCTAGGCTGAAGCCAGGAGGCCAGGTCAGCAAGGCACAGCTGAGAGCAGTGAGGGAGCAGGCTAAGCACAGCAGCCAGCAGCATAGCTCAGCTCAGGCAAGGACCAAAGTAAGCAGCTTCCGTCAGCAGTGCCAGAGAAGTGAGATGATGAACTAAAATGATACAGGGTCTCTGGTCAGTAGTTAAAGGAGACAGGACCAGAGAAAAGTCTGCAACACAGCTTCAAGGTCTAACCAAGAGACATGGTCCATAGACAGGGCTGGAGACAAGCTACCTTCAGCACAGAACCAAGGTTGGTCCAGGAGACAAGATCAGAGATGGGCCTAGATCAGAGATGGGCCTAGATCAGGCTCATCTACAATGTAGCTTGGGCTTGGGCTTGGGCTTGGGCTTGAGCTTACATGGAGTCCCTAACCCCATGGGCAGAGATCCCAGCTGCAGCAGGTCAGGACAGCTGAGGCATAGTGGGTCTCAGGGCCCTGGCAGAATTACTCAAGTTTTGAAACAAACAGGGTGGGCAAATACCATAGTATTTTGGTCTGTTTTACTGTCATTTCTTTTCAGTAGTATTCAGTCATTATTCTCTCCTTCCCTCAAATTAGAGATCTGTTCACTCCACAGGAGGCATTTGCCATCCCTTTCCTTGCCACAGTTGCTTCTCTGTTATTTTGCTGTCACTAACCACAGCATAGCTGGTCACATGCTGTAATTGGTATTGAATTGTCCATTTGTTGGCAGTGTTGCTGTTTGACATGGCTTTGACACATAAGTGATCCCTTGGAATGGGATCATCTATAAACTCAAGGCGGTACTGTTAAGCATTTTGTCCACAAGAATGTCCCTGAACCTTTCTTTCTTCTCTTCTTCATGAAATCAAATGGCTTTTTATTTTGTTGTGAAAAGTGCTTCAGTGCTCTTAAAGGTCAAAAGCAAGGTGAATCAGTCAGTGCTTCACTCCCATCCTGTGTTTGCTCTGCACACATTCCCAGCTGGGCTGTGCCCACACTCTGCCCTGTGAGCCATCACTCCATGCAGGTGGCTGGCCTGGAACCAGGCAGCTCTCCATCATGAGCACCTCAGAAAGCCCTCCAAATAATATGCTCTTATATGAAAAATAATTCAGAATGTCAGCTTTAGAAAACACATTCAAGTTTCAGTTTAGGAATTGCAAAGACTGTTTTTTCACTCGGCTACCCTTTGCCCAAGATCTGAAAAGAAAAACCCTGTGAAAGCAAACAAAAAGTTGAATACTAGAGCAAGCGAGCAATAGCTGTGACATACTTGGTAGACTGAGGTAGTAGGGTTTGTGGCATCACTTATCTAGCAAGTCCATTTCCACAGAGAAAGCTGCTGCATTCTAGGAGGACAAATCAACACCTGGTGTGATTATTCATTTTCCTTGAGCTATTTCTTTTATTCTCAAAATTCAAGAAGAAAAAAAGAAGCTGACTTCAAACAACACAGAAGCAAGCAACACACCAGGATTTCTCATTCACACAGTAAATGTAGCCTTTAATCTGGGAAGTTCGTTTTGATGAGTCTTCAATTATGCATTGAATTTTCCAGTGACCCCTAGATTAGGCTCAGATAAAACCTCTGCAGCCGCAGGCGCATTCTTTGATTTTCTGTGATTTGTCAGTCTTTTATAAAGACTAGATTATTTCAGGTCACAAATACAAGGTCTTTACTTTCTCACACTAGATCCTTTAAAACTCTAATAAAAGGGAACCTTTTATAATGGAAAACCAAATCTATATTGGATTAGTGATGGCCTATAGCTTGATGTGTCCTTGGATTATAGGAGTCAATATCTGGTTAGGTATAACGAAAGGATTCCATAGAAATTCTTCATCTCGCCTCGCCTGGAACTCTTGAAACCAATAGTTGGAAAGCAGCGACTAAATTTAAATTAAATTTCAGGTTCAGGTCAAACTGCATTGACCTTTTAATTATATGAGAAAATCACCTGCAAGTTGGTGCTATAGTTCACCACCAATCTTTTGGGCATATTTTAACGTACATTTCAAATATGCTTGTTTATGTTTCTCCTGACTTCCCTCTTTCTTCACAGACACATGATAGGAGCCTGATACATATATGCCTAAACCTTTTTAAAATACAACTTGAATATCATTGTGATTTTTGTTAAATCTTCATTCTCTTTAAAATAACAAGCATTTTGTAAGTTTTAAGATGTCCAGCACATCTGTAATTAATTGCAGATTCTGTTGTTTTTCAGTTTTTCATAAAATACAACACAGCTGGCTAAACAGCTTAAAAGCCTAATTTTTCATTAAAATTGTGAGTAATCGGCCAAGGCTACACAGTAATGCAGTATTTTCTTGTTGAGAACTCTTTGGTGAATGATTTAGATGATTGGCCAGCACATCTAAACATTTTATTTGATCTTTTTGAACACTTTGTTGTGATGATTTGATTGCTGTGAGTCCCTGTCAGATCTTCAGCTTTATAACTCAAAAGAAAAGTGTATGTGTGTTGGACAGTAAGCGTCAGAGAAACTGCTACACTTCTCATTCATTTCTTTGTGAACGAAATACGTAGTGCTAGAAAATGTTTGAGACCTGATATCTTCAGTTTGTAGAGGACTTTTTCAAAGATGGTCTAGTTACGAACTTTTGTGAGTTTAATGTTACTGCTATTGCAGAGCTTGATTTGGGCATGAAAGCCTAGAAAACTTGGTATGAAATAACCAAAAGACAGACCCAAGTTTAAAAAAAAACAAAAAAACAAAAAAAAAAAAAAACAAAAAAAAACCAGAAACAACTTTTATATACCTTGTATGGGGTGAGAAATTTACCCAAGGATTTTTGTTGGGGTTTTGGGTTTGGTGTTTTTTTTTCGTAGTTCCCTGTGTCTGGAAACTAGCTCACATTAGTCATCTGTTTTCTTAATTTCCCTTAAAAATTGTGGTCTGAGCTCTTCCTGCCATTGAAATTCTTGACAAATTATAGAGAAGACTCAGTTCTGTTTTTCTTGTGTACCGTGAACTCCAGCTGCAACATATTGAATATGTTCATGACTGCTTGTAGTCATCTAACTTATTTCTTTCTAATATGTTAAGTTTCTAAATGATCCATAAAATCAGACCTATTTCAACAAGCACACAAGCCAGCCTCTTAGGGAAACCAAATATTTTTGATATAACAAAAGTTATTATCACCACGTAGTCCAAAACAGCTAACTCAGGTTAACATGTCACTACAGATTGGCTGAGTCCTCTCCAGTTTTAAAGTGAAACACATTAAATTAAGCAATGCTAAACCTAAAATCTGTGGTAGTTTAAAAAATTTTTAATGGGGACCTTGCATAAGATAAGATCCACGGGACAAGTCTTTGTTTTATTCTCAGATTTTGGTCTAGCCACAGGTAATGACCTTCCAGAGGTTTCATCTCATCAGGTGTTGGCCAGGAAGACACAAGCTGGTTTTTGGGGCCTTTCTCATAGCTAGTGGCAAGCAATAGGAAAGAGGGAGTAATTAATGTCATCATTAAGGAAGTGCCGGAAGTGGGATAAGTTACTATATAGCGCTGCCTATCTCTGTCAGTCACGGAGAAAAATCTAAATGCTGTGCTAAGAGTGGGCATTTTACTTTTAGGTACCAAAGGTCTCCTTACATTAATTCTCTTCAGGGTGTCCTGGCTGAAGTGTCCTACTTCTGTTCCTGTCCAGAAATTTGGCAGGCCAAGATTCAGACCTCTTCTACCACTCTTCTGTCATGAAAAAGGGAGGATTTAAGCTTTTTACCATTATTGCAAAAATCCTGTTGAGATGGATTTATGGGTTATGTAACTACATATTTACCTCTGTATGTCCTACTTACTCAGAATTACTCAGAATTGCTCATATTCCCCTAAAATAGAGTTCATAGTATTTTAGGCAAGCAAGGATTTCCTTGGACACAGCTTCTCATAAAGTCTACTTTGTTCTGTATTACAAGCTATGCTTGTATAAAAAAAAAATCTTATCAAAAGGCAGCCTTG